CCACCACTCCTCCCAGTTTGGTGTCGTCAGCAAACTTGCTGAGGGTACACTCTAACTCTTCATCCATGTCATTGATGAAGAAGTTAAACAAGACTGGGCCCAGTACTGACCCCTGGGGGACACCACTAGTTACCGGCCTCCAACTAGACTCAGCGCCGCTGATGACAACCCTCTGAGTTCTGCCATTCAGCCAGTTCTCAATCCACCTCACCAACCACTCATCCAGCCCATACTTCCTGAGCTTCCCTAGGAGGATATTATGGGAGACTGTGTCGAAAGCCTTGTTGAAGTCTAGGTAGACAACATCTACGGCTTTCCCTTTGTCTACCCAGCCAGTCATGTCATCATAGAAAGCTATCAGATTTCAATTATGTTTCAAGTATATTTTACATAAGGAAAGCAGTAATTCTTTCAAAATGATAATAATAAATAAAGTCTTAATGAAGGTACTCCAACAGCAATGTTGACAGCCAAAAAAAAACCAACTAAAAAACCGCCCCCAACATTTCTTGCTAAATATGTATTTTATAAGCATGAATTACTATCTTCGAAACCTGTTAAATCGGAGTGCAGCATTCACAACTCCTATGACTAGCCAAGCTGGCCAGTGGTTAGAAAACTCTGGGGCACATTATCCCAATATATACATTTTAGAGAGAGTGTTATATTTCTGCTTATCATGGAGAAGACAACAGTAACATGACTTTAAATGAGAAATGAAATGCCCACCCACCAACAAGAAAGGCAGCCTCCTTAAATTGCCCAGCATAGGATGTCAGGCTAATGACGTCATCATAAAACCAGCTTTGGTACTCCCAGGATTTGGTATTTCTAAAAATACATTATTGTCTACAACTGCAAGTAAACTCGGCGCTCCCTCCCAACAAACTCCTTCTGGGGATGTCAAAGAAGAGCTTGTGAACAGGCACAGCAGGGGAAACTGGCTTCAAAAGGAATAACTTTCTTTTCCACTGCTCAAAGCTGAAGCTGCCTGAAGGTGGACATGTCCCTTCATTCCCACGCAGCAGGCAGACAGCCTGGCAGTGCTGTGGCCAGAAATCAGACAGGATGAAGGCTGGAATGGCCGCTTACTGGGGAGATGGACGTGCAAAATTTGGACAGGCAAAAGGACACCTTGATGGAATTTGATTTCCTTTTGGATTTCACTTGGGTTTCTCCTCCTTCTGACTGGAGGGTTTATTTGAATCACAGAATGTTATTCTGTGAAGTAAGGCAGATGAAGTGCTAGTAGCAACAGGAGAAGATAAGGTATTGTACTAATGACTAATTGCACAGCTTGACTTTCTAATTTGTTACAATAGATGAAAATTCCCCATTAAGGGGAACACAGGCTTAAAACTGCTGGCAGGTTTTTCTGCCTCATTTTTGAATGATAACACAAGGTAGAGACAATCATGATCTAATTGTAGACAATTTGCTAGTGAAAAAATTAGTTGAACAAATTGTTCTTTCTACTGTAAAAGTTAAAATAGACACACACCCTAGAGAAGATTATTCCTAAGGTATTCATGACTGTAGGATACTTGAAAAATACTAAAAATAAAATGGACAAACAATGACTTTTACTATCACTCTTTTAAAATATGTTGCTACATGAAACATAGTCCTTAATCAATCAGGTCCAAGATGGAAGTCATCCCTGCTTTGAGCAGGATGTTGGACAAGGTGATCTCCAGAGGTCTTTCCAACTTAAATAGTCCTTGGATTCCATCAAATGCCCACAATTAATAAGGTTGAGTCAGACTGCTTCAAATCTAAAAATCCTGCTCAGGTCTAACAGCAGAGATGGGCCCAGACTCTAGCAGAAAAGGCTGAAATCCTCTCTGAGAACCACAACGTATCCTCACCCTCAGATTGCCCCATCAGGCCCCAGCCACCTTGTCCTCACTTTCCACCTAACCCCATAACAGCGCATGGTTTTAGCTTCCTCCTATTTATTTGCAAGCACCAAGTGGATGCACAGGCCCTGAGAAGTCTGAACCATCATTTAACAGGAAGCTGTGTGACAAATTAAGGCAGTCAGAATGAGGGCACTACAGGGAGCCTGTCCTCTCTCTTCCTCATTTCCCTCCGACTCAAACGCATCTGTGTGAACACGACAGCACACTTCCATCTGCTGAGGGAGCAGCTCTCTTCCCCTGGCACCCTCCCTCTGCATACAGATGTGCTTACATGTGGACTGTACGCTCCAGAAGGCAAGCGAACTGTCCTTAATGTTGCAGCAAGTAACACACATATTGGTTACACTGATTTACAGCTGAAATAAAAGCAAAAGACAGTCAAAATGAGATGTCTGAAAATTGATCTATGCTGCAAGTGGATGGCACACTGAAGTGCTCTGGGTTATTGCCTCCCACCACCCTTCACCCTTCCAAGTCCCTGATGACACAAAAGTCACTGTCTGCAGCAATAGAAGTTACAGGTACATGTATCACCCTCCACCTACCTGTAACCCTTCAATGGCCAGTTTGAGGATAGACGGTGTAAGCTTGGAGGCTTGCTTGAAGGAGAAATTGCTCCAGTCTATAATTAGAATGAAGCCATTTATCTGAAGCTCCTGATCTTCAATGAGAACTTCCAAGGACAGTAAGATTGCCCGAAGGATATCTATGAAGGAGTTCCTAAAGCCAAAGCAGAAAAAAAAAAGTTATCAATGGTTTCAGTTATCTTCAAACCTCAAGAAACTCAGCTTTGCTGTGGATGGGGCATGAGCAAGGCATGGGGATTCATTCTGGTAGAATTCTTTTAAAAAGAGAGTTGTTTCAGAGGTGTCACTAAAGAGCTCCTGCTCCGAAACTCACATTCCTCTGCTTGATGTGATAAGTGCTGCCCACCAGTGGATGAAAGAAACTCTGAATTAAATCTTTTTGATTCTTCTGGCATTCCTTACAATAGATTTTAGCTAAGCTACTTTGGGAAAATATTTCTCTGTGGTAAAATGAAATGGATTCAGGCTATCAGTTTAAATCCCTGCTCCTTTGGATATACTTTATAGAGGTTTTTGTTTGGGTTTCCCCCCTTCCCTCCTTCTTTTCTTTCTCTTATAAAGAGGAAAATCAGAAAAGGAAATAAATCAGCATGATATTACTATACATAATATAGTCACAGCAAGGCTCCCTGGCTTCCTGCTTGAGTGGAGGAAATGATCCAAGGCTTTGCACACTAAAGTTTGACTGTTGCCATATTTCTATGAACCTAACGCAACATGGAAAATAGCTGCATCCACTCAAAATCGGAACTCCTTATTAATTAACAGCTATCAGTAGGCTGGCTGCAAGGCTTCCCTCAGATCTGGGAGAATAATTAAAAGCCTTGGGGGCCATGAAAGAGATAGCAAGTGACAGAGAAGAAAATGTTCAAATGTTTTCTTTAATGTGAAAGTCTGTACTGGAAAGCCTGGGTCCCTCTCTACTTCCATCTCATGCATTTTTGGAAAGCAAGAGTTGGACACTTTAATAACTTATTCCATATTTACATCTGAGTAAGATGAATTAGACCCTTGCATCATCTATCCTTCCCATTAAGACATTTTACAAACAACAGATTCTTTTAGCGAGCAACAAGCAAGGAAAACTTTAGAAAGTACAGCTTAGCCTTGTGTAAAATGAAATTGTAACTTACTGCTATTGCAGTCTGCTTTAACTCTGCATAATGCTCAAATGTTGATGAGGCCTGAGGTCTACTACAGGGAAGGCTTACACCATGTTCTCCCATGGAGATTTTAATCTAATCCTTTTCTGCTGTTTTCTTTAATTTAAAACAAGTCATCTAAGCCTACAAAAGCGTTGCTTCAGATTCTGCCTGAGAGAAAAAACCTATGTGCAGTCAAAACAAAATTCTCTACCGTCTACTTCTGAATGGCAGCAACACATGATGAATTTCTATTAGAAGTAAATGGTGAAGTGTTTTCTTATTCTTTCTCTTTTCTCTCAGCAAGTTTTGAGTGGAAAAGTACATTCCTTCTTTAAAGACAATGTCCCTTGAAAAAGTTGTTTCAGAACTGTATCTCTCAGCCTAAGTTAGAAGCTTCTCTGAAGTATAATTTCTTAGGCAACTTGCAATACATAGAGCTTTAAGATATTTAGCTTTGTTCCTGCTGGGTACCAGAACACGTCTCCTTCATTTGCAGTAACAGGACAACCTTGACCTTTTCAAATCATATGGGAAACTGTGCTAAACAGACAAACTGAAGGAGTGCTTCCCTTAGCAACGTAAGGTGAAGGCATACCAATTGGATTCACAACTGACAATTATTTTCAGTCTAAAGTTATTTCAAAAAACTGTGATGTGAATATACTGCCCACTGCCCAGATGAAACGGGTGATAACTTTCACACAACAGCATTAAACTACTCCATTTTAAGCGACTGAAGAAGCAATTGGAACCCTAAGGCATATCTACTTAATATACCCCACATTACCTCAACATCCCTATTCAAGGGGTAAGTTTTCCTAAGCGACTGAAGAAGCAATTGGAACCCTAAGGCATATCTACTTAATATACCCCACATTACCTCAACATCCCTATTCAAGGGGTAAGTTTTCCACAAGAACTGCCCCGTCAAAGTTCCCAGAGGTGTGCAGTCGCTCTAAAAGTGTCCTCACACACATGCCAGCCTTTTCCACCCTCTCGTTGGCATCAGCACAGATGATCATTCATGGATAAGGGGTAATTCAAGATGATCATTCAAGGACAAGGGGTAATGGGCACAAACTGAGGCACAGGAAGTTCCGTCTGAACATGAGGAGGAACTTCTTCTCTCTGAGGGTGACGGAGCACTGGAACAGGCTGCCCAGGGAGGTTGTGGTAAGCGACTGAAGAAGCAATTGGAACCCTAAGGCATATCTACTTAATATACCCCACATTACCTCAACATCCCTATTCAAGGGGTAAGTTTTCCACAAGAACTGCCCCGTCAAAGTTCCCAGAGGTGTGCAGTCGCTCTAAAAGTGTCCTCACACACATGCCAGCCTTTTCCACCCTCTCGTTGGCATCAGCACAGATGATCATTCATGGATAAGGGGTAATTCAAGATGATCATTCAAGGACAAGGGGTAATGGGCACAAACTGAGGCACAGGAAGTTCCGTCTGAACATGAGGAGGAACTTCTTCTCTCTGAGGGTGACGGAGCACTGGAACAGGCTGCCCAGGGAGGTTGTGGAGTCTCCTTCTCTGGAGATATTCAAGACCCGCCTGGACAAGGTCCTGTGCAGCCTGCTGTAGGTGACCCAGCTTCGGCGGGGGGGTTGGACTAGATGACCCACAGAGGTCCCTTCCAACCCCTACTATTCTGTGATTCTGTGATTCTGTGATAGGCTTTCTGGATAGACTGGGGAAGATGGAGTAATGCAGAGCTCAATTTAACCCCACATTTGCAAATGAACTGAATATTTGTTTTATGAAGGTGTGAAATGGGGTCACACAGTGATCAGAACAGGTTCCATCCCTTATTTGTGGGAAGAAGTATTCTTAACAAAAGAATCAAACTCATTTGTGATCCTGTTACCTCTGATGTTTTTAAAGGGTGTGCAGTGATTTCAGTATGGCTGTATGGAAATGGTGCACACAAGACATCTTCTGTAATCCACTTAAACTCTAATTCACAATGAAATAATTAATTTGACTGAGCACAAAATTCTCATCTTGGACTCTATGGTGAGGAATTCCAGTCTTTGTTTAGATATCCACATGAATTACCAGATTATCAAGCAATTACTTACCTGTACTTCCCTGCATTTTCAGTAGAAATTCTTTGCCTGGGAGACATGGCACCCAGTTTTCTTAGTGTGTAACTAATCTCACTGTTTCCTGCACAGATCCCTCTTCCCTTCTATGTATTTGCATTTTTAAGACATGGTGTAGGAAAGAACTCAAAATTAACACAAAGACATTTTTCAGAAGAGTGCAAGGAGACAAGAAAGCAGCACACAAGTCCTCCAGGTGGGTACTTTGCAGGCACAATGTTTTGTGAATGCAGGGTCTGGACAGAAATCAGACAGAGTGCCACTTGAGGCTAAAGCCCTCTGCTCCCTAATCTTGAGGCTTTGAGACAAATCATTCAGCTGTGTGACTGATTTGCATCCAAATAATTTTCTATGCATGAACACAGAACCACTTTCTATTAGTCCATCTCTTTTGTTCCTTTGCTTAATGTTCCCTTCCCTCCTCCAACCCCATTCCACATCAGTTTAACTCTTGCACAACAAAAAAAAATGAAATAAATTACTGTTACACAAAGTGAAATGTGTAAGGTGCTGTAAAGATTCAGCATGAAGCCTACTGATGTGAGCCACTAATGAGTTACAAAAGATTTGCACAAGCCCCTGAAAGACAAAAAGGAGGGAGGGAGAGTGCCTATCTGCCTTGGCTGAATGGAAAGGTACCACAAAAGAGGCTCTTCAGATATCCTTTGGAAAATGGGAAGTCAGCCCAACAGAAAGTAATGGTTAGGAACAGTAATGTAAAACAAAAATTAAGATGGTTTAGCTGAGGGATTTGGTGGGGAGATTAGCCAAAGGCATAACATGAAAATAAATAAGAAGAAATTACTTAATTATAAGAGGCATGAGCAGGCAGTGAGAGAATCAAAAGGCTCAGTGGAGTACCAGGGTGCAATGGGAACAATTAAAGGGGATAAAGACATTGCAGGGAAATTAAATGATCTATTTGCATCTTTCTGCCACCAGTCATTCTGAAGAGATACATGGACAATAAAGCTGAGGGACTGTTGGAAAATAAGGGGTCAAACAAGACGTGCTGCAAGTAAGTGATACATTTTCAAGAAGACAGCATCAGTAAAGCCTTTTGACATTACTCTCTCTGAACATTGAAGCACAGGCTCTGTTTTAGGCATGCTAGTGATATTAATTGGATTATTCAGATGGTTAAAAGTATGAACATACAGAAGTACTGGCAGCTGAAGCCATTAAGATTGCCTGGTAGTAAGGAAAAACAAACTGTCACTAAAAATCCTGATTGTCCCATAAAACAGTAGGCTAACAAAGTTTGGATCAGTGTCATTATCTTGGCAGCTGCAGACAACTGAGCTTAACATCCCTGAGTTAGCAACCAGTAAGAGCCTCTGTCCTGTAATACTTAAAAGTTGGCTTATTTAAATACAAATGCAGATAAAAGCGATTTCTTCACCTATTAAACAAATAGCTCGGGATAGCAAATCAATGACTTTATCACCTTTTCAATGAAACAACGAGGTGAACTTGCAACACCATCATGTTTAACATAAGCTGACAAAAGACTGAGCAACTGGTTTCAATGAGTCTGTTTGGACACCTAAGAAGAGAAGACAGTACAGTACACCTCACAAAAAAAACAATAGCCAAGGCTGGATGAGATTTAGCAAGCTGCAGACACGGCATAGATAAAACTCAGGTAAGAAACCACATCTCACTTTGTTCCCTCCCCACACAGCATATCACCAATGGAGAGCAGAAATGCATGCAGAGTTTCTAGTGTGGGGAGAGCTGGCACTGCCCTGCAAAGAGAGTTCCCACTGGGAGATATCTGCAGAAGAGGAAGCAGAAAGAAGAACGAAGAAAAAAATATGCTCAGGTTGCCCCCAAAATATTTGAGCTAATCGAAGCTGAAGAAACTGTAAGGAAA